GTACCCTATAGAGGCTCAAGACCCCCTATAGATGCTCTTGGTCCCGTATAGAGGCTCGGGACCCCCTATAGATTCTCTCAGTTCCATATAGAGGCTCAAGACCCCCTATAGATTCTCTCAGTCCCATATAGAGGCTCAGGGTCCCCTATAGAGGCTCAAGACTCCCTATAGGATGCTCTTGGTCCCGTATAGATGCTCTTGGTCCCCTATAGAGGCTTGTGATCTCCCGTATAGATGCTCCTGACCCCCTATAGATGCTCTTGGTCCCATATAGAGGCTCGGGACCCCCTACAGATGCTCTTGGTCCCATATAGAGGCTTGTAACTCCCTATAGATGCTCTTGGTCCCATATAGAGGCTCAAGACCCCCTACAGATGCTCTTGGTCCCATATAGACGCTTGGGACCCCCTATAGATGCTCTTGGTCCCATAAAGAGGCTCAGGGTCCCCTATAGATGCTTTCAGTGCCATATAGGGGCTCGTGACCCCCTACAGGTGCTCTCAGTCCCTTATAGATGTTCAGGACTCCCTATATATGCTCTCGGTTCCATATAGAGGCTCGTGACCCCCTATAGATTCTCAGTCCCGTATAGAGGCTCGGGACTCCTGCACAGAGACTCTGAGTCCCATATGGGGGCTCCTGGCCCCCTATAGATATTCTCAGTCCCATAAGGTGGCTCCTGGCCCCACAGAAGCCCATGAGGCCGTATGGATGCCATCAGTCTCCTATAGAGGCTCATGACGCCCCTATAGATGCTCTCAGCCCCCTCTGGAGGCTCTCGGTCCCATATGGTGGCTCCTGGCCGTGGGCAGACACTCTTGACCCCCTTTAGATGCTCTCAGTCCCCTATAGAAGCTCACTGACCCCCTATGGATGCTCGTGGGCCCATATGGAGGTTTGTAGTGCTGGTCCCTGGCCCCATATAGAGTTTCTCGGCCCACAGAGACGCTTGTGGCCCTGTATGGATGCCCTCAAGGCCCTATAGACACCCTCAGGGCCCTATGGACACCCTCGGGGCCCTTATAGACGCCCTCAGGATCTTTTTCAGGGCCCTATGGACACCTCCAGGACCCTATAGACGCCTTCAGGGCCCTACAGACACCCTCAGGGCTGTTTTCAGGACCCTATGGTCACTCTCAGGGACCTTATAGATGCCCTCAGGACCCTTCTCAGGGCCCTATGGACACCTCCAGAGCCTTACAGACACCCTCAGGGCCCTATAGATGCCTCCTGGACCCTTATAGACACCCTCAGAACCCTATAGACACCCTCAGGGACCTTCTCAGGGCCCTATGGACACCTCTAGGGCCCTATAGATGCCTCCCGGACCCTTATAGACACCCTCAGTGCCCTATAGATGCCTCCTGGACCCTTACAGACACCCTCAGGGCCCTATAGATGCTTCCCAGGCCCTTACAGACACCCTCAGGACCCTATAGACACCCTCAGGGCCCTTCTCAGCACCCTATGGACACCTCTAGGGCCCTATAGATGCTTCCTGGACCCTAACTGACACCCTCAGGGCCATATAGATGCCCTCAGGGTCCTTCTCAGGGCCCTATGGACACCTCTAGGGCCCTATAGATGCCTCCCAGACCCTTATAGAAACCCTCAGTGCCCTATAGATGCCTCCTGGACCCTTACAGACACCCACAGGGTCCTTCTCAGGGCCCTATAGATGCTTCCCAGGCCCTTATAGACACCCTCAGGGCCCTATAGATGCCTCCTGGACCCTTACAGACACCCTCAGGGCCCTATAGACGCCCTCAGGGCCCTTCTCAGCGCCCTATGGACACCTCTAGGGCCCTATAGACACCCTCAGGGCCCTATAGATGCTTCCTGGACCCTTATAGACACCCTCAGGGCCCTATAGATGCTTCCCAGGCCCTATAGATGCTTCCTGGACAATTATAGACACCCTCAGGGCCCTATAGATGCTTCCCAGGCCCTTATAGACACCCTCAGGGCCCTATAGACACCCTCAGGGCCCTTCTCAGCGCCCTATGGACACCTCTAGGGCCCTATAGATGCCTCCTGGGCTCTTACAGACACCCTCAGGGCCCTAC